ACTCTGAAGACCCAAGAGGCATCAACTGACAAAGTTTGATGATTCTAAGCCAATTAGTACCCGAAATATTTAATTAACGCCATAAATTTTCAAAAGTAGGTCGACCTACTCCGAAGACCCAAGATGCATCAACTGACAAAGTTTTATGATTCTAAGCCAATTAGTACCTGAAATATTTAATTATAGTCATATAAATTGAAAAGTAGGTCACGGTGACCTACTTTTCAGTTGACCTTTTTTGAGGACCCAAGATGCATCAACTTACAAAGTTTTATGATCATAGGACTTAAAATGTCCAAATTATGCCTCTAAAACGCTTTGAAATCGAATGCCTGCAAAGTTCAAAAAGTAGGTCACTGTGACCTACTTTTTAATAAATGTTTTATGGCCCCAAGATGCATCATCTTACAAGATTTAATGATTCTAAGCCTCCCCGTATTCGAATTAATGACCTTAATTGTTTTAAAAAAGTTTAGCCATAAAATTCAAAAAGTAGGTCAAGGTGACCTACTTTTTAGTTGACGTACTTTGAGGACCCAAGAGGCATCAACTGACAAAGTTTGATGATCATAGGCCTTAAATTGTTCAAAATATGCCTCTAAATCATTTTGAAAAAGAATGGCCGCAAAATTTAAAAAGTAGGTCACCATGACCTACTTTTGAGTAAACATGATATGAGGTCCTTAGATGCACCAACTGACAAGATTTGATGGTCCTAGTCCTTATAGTAAGCAAAATATCAACATTTTAATAAAATGTAATTTTTGGTCAACTTTGAAGTGACCTTGAGACCACGCCCTTTGCCCCAGGGTAAATCCCCGTGCAAATTTTAATCTACAACATATCCTCATCCTTTTGTGTAAGTTTGGTGATAATCTGCCCAGTGGTTCTTGAGAAGAAGATTTTTTAGCAACCAGTACTTTTGTTTCTATTTTCCTAATTATCTCCCCTTGTTAAAGGGTCACAACCCCAGTTTTAGTATAAAAGGGAGCCCTTGGGCCAAGGATACCCTGTGACAAATTTGACAATAATTGGCCAAGGGGTTCTTGAGTTATGGCCCATATTCTAAAAAGTTTACGCACACCGCACACCGCACAAATGGCCATAGCATTAGCTCTTTGAGCCTTTGGCTCAGAAGAGCTAAAAACTAAGCAAAAGACTATTTTCAGAAAGTCTGCCCCCCCCCCCCCCACCCCCGTACCATCCATACAACGGACCTGTGAAAAAAATGCTGATCCTGCATTCAGAGTCCCAGGGCACCAGGAAAGAGTGGCAAAAAGAGAAGATTGGTTTATTTCAGTCTATAAGTCGAATCAAAATATCTTTTCCTCAAGAGTCTTCTTTCTTTGAGTTCATCCCAGTGATCGTGTGATTTATTTTATATTCTGTACTGGACTTGAAAAATGAGGACATCTTTAGGTCCCTGAGCTGGCCTTGAAGCCCGCAGAACAGATTTTCTGCTTTACGATAAATTCAAATGATAAATTCAAGTTATATGTGATTCGGTATTAATTTTGTGTTAATTTTTTTTGTGTTGATTTCATCATGAAATATGAAAAATTAATTTTTTAACCACACATGGTGAGGCACGTTTTTTAATTTTTTTTGTTTGGAACGAATATTTTGGGTTTTTCACGATTTTTTCATACGGTACACATGATGAATAAGTGCGATAAATATAATTTATGAAAAAATGTCCAACAAGCCCCGGGGTTGAATATTGGGGGGGGGGGGGGGTTATCCTGTCCACAAGTACCTGTGGTCAAGCCCGTAGAAAGCAATTTCAGTTTGTTTGTTTTTTTTTTGGGGGGGGGGAACCAAACAGAAATTCCACAGGTACTTGTAGTCGATTTTTTTCCTATGGTACACATGATGAATAAGTGTAATAAATATAATTTGTGGAAAAAAATGTCAAAATGTAATTCTTATCAATGTTTTATTTCTCTAAACTGAATTGGAAGTTTGGCTTTTTACTGTTTTTTTACTGGCCGCACACTTGAAAAACAGCCACGACTCTCACTGACCAAACCGGTTACACTAAAAATAGCCTATTTACAAACACTCTCAAATACAGAACCAAAATAGGGATATAATTAGTGGTGTTCCAATCATCGATTATAATCGAAAATCGGTCGATTGCTGGCATAATCCAAGCGCTCGATTACAAAATTTTTATTCTGATTAATCGGGTTATTTATTTTATTTTCCAAGCGTAATAGTTATTAGCCAAATATTCCAGCCACGACTTGTCTATTAACTTATCTGTGTATCATAATGGCACAGACGAACAGACATTGTATTTTAGTTAGAATAATCTGTGTCTCAGGACAGGCCCTAACCACAGTTAGAATGCCTCTCATATACCCGTAATGTAGCAGAAAATTGCAGAATCGCTCCGAAACGACAGTTAGATTATTCTAACTGGAACACCACAGAAAGTAGTTATTCACCCATTCTTACCATTTAATAAACTAAATTGACAGACTTTGTAAATGTCTGATTATAATTGATAATTACCGGTAGTTAGTTACAGTAGCCTGATCATCGATTATGAAATTCTTACCGATTCCCATCACTAGATATAATTAGACTATTACACATAAAACAACAAAACTGATAAGCAACATAATTCAACTTCATCACAGCTACAAAAATGCTTATTTTTTCACCATTTTTTCACATAAAATATTGTATTTTTTTAATAATATATGTTTAATTTTATATGCGTAAAACATAAGAAAAGATTTTTGAAACATTTATTCAAATCCAAGAATATTTTAAAATGTGTTGATGTTTTAAAGCCCAATTTCAACGGAAAATATCGTCGACCCCCCTTATTTTAAGAGCTGGAATTAGGAATAATTAATTATTTAAAACTGGCATTAGAATTATCAGTCAATACCATTGAACTGTTCTTTGCAATCAACAAAGATTTTATGGTCAAATTGCCGTTAGTATTGAATTAAATGGGTGTAAAATGTAGGCAGGAATCAAGAGTTAGCGTGCGTAGTTCTTCGAAAGCTTTTAAGATCAATATCACTCCATCCAAATCCGATACATCGAAAATAAATTCAACACCTTTTCTTCTTCTTATTCGTGTTAAGAAAAATAAAAGTTATAATTTTACGTCGAATATACGATGAAATTCTGGAAAATTTATAAATGTTCTCCATATTGTTACTTACATATACATGTTTCGATCGCCACAAAAACAACAATGATCGATTTCACCACTGTATTTGGAATATACAAGGGGTGGGTATTATTGGCGGCAAGATTAAAGCTGTGTCCGCTTCATGCATGAGTGCATAAAGTGAACCCAGAAAGTGAACGCGGGTTCGCACTAGCGGACCCACAGCTGACCCCGAGTGAACACAGAGTGAACCCGAAGCACACCCAAGGCGAACCCAGAGCACAACCAAAATTTCTGAAAGCGGACCCGAAGCGAACCCAGAAAGTGAACCCTGGGTGCACTTTAGGTTCGCTCTGGTGTTAGGTTGTGTCTGGTCGGTACTGTATATATTCCTATGTTAAACTTTGATCCCCAATTGTGGCCCCATCCTACCCCCGGGGGTCATGATTTGACTATTTATTGAAGGTTTCACATAAGTTTCAACTTTTCTGGCTCAATGGTTCTTGAGATGAAGATTTTTGAAAGATGACACCAAATTTTCACTAATTCTTAATTATCTCCTCTTAAAAGAGGGTGTGGTTTTCATTTGAACAAACTTGAATCCCCTTCAACCAAGGAAATGCTTTGTGTCAAGTTTGGTTGAAATTGGTCCAGTGGATGTCAAAAATGTGAAAAGTTCACAGACGGACAGACTAGACAGACAGATGCCAGACAAAATGTGAAGAGAAAAGTTCACTTGAGCTTTGAGCTCAGGTGAGCTAAAAATTGGCCATGTGGTTCTAGAGAAGAAATTGAAAAGTTACAGATGGATGGACAGAACGGACGGATGTCGGGTGAGCAGAAAAGCTCACTTGAGCTTTCAGCTCAGGTGAGCTAAAAAGTATATTATATAATTGAATGAAATTTTAAGGCAAAAGTTAAAATAGGTAGGGGTATTGATTTGTCAGGTTTTGTCAATAACACTCGATCATTATAGATTTTATAGCAGTTGTGAGATGACTTTTGGATCAACCCACGCATAATTTATATACATTGTATCTTATTAATTACAGATTACAGAAGATTGTTTCAGATCAAGAGAACTCAAACTGCTTTTACAACATGCATATTTAGAGGATGAAAAACTTGCAGGAAATGGAAAAACATGTTGGCAAAACTGTATACAAACTATACTTGATGAAGTTATTGGTTCAAATGCTAATACATTATCAATAAATGATTTTGAAAATAATTTGAAAAAGTATTTTGAGAATATAGTTTTTAGGGATATAAGACATATCAAAGAAAAAGGTAATGGCAAATTATCATTCTACAGCCAGTTAATATATAAGTCAAGGAAATCTAAACAAGCTTGAAATTCAACCATACTTAAATGTTTTCATTTCCAAGAATCTTTGTTCTTTTTCGACTCGATTAAGAATAAGTGCCCACAAATTACAGATAGAGGTTGGCAGATATTGTAATCCAATTTTACCAAGAGATGAAAGATATTGTATTAATTGTCAAACTGTTGTTGAAGATGAACATCATTTTTTATTTGTATGTCCTCTTTATAAACAACTAGGAATTGAATTTTGTACACTTTTTAACAATACATGTATATCTTATGAAATTCTTAATCCAGCAGACGTTAAATCAACAAGAAATATTTGTAACTTCATACGTGATGCATCTAATATAAGAAGATCTGTATGTATGACTTGCGCCACATGTGGTTTTTGTCAAATTAAATAAAATAAAAAATAAAAAAAATTAAAGTTCGTCTTTTGACTTACCTTGTGTTTGACTGCTACCACTGCAATAAAATGTTTGTCAAATGCAGCATTCAACTAAGTATCCAAAGTTCAAGTTTAAACACCTTACTTACCAGCTTTTGTTTCATAAATTCCGTCTGCATGAAGTAGCATGGCAATAGGCATTCCGACATTTTTTGATCTACCACAGACAACAGCATTTTTCCCAAAGGTTTCAATGCCTGGTAAATAAAAAATGCATCCACAAATTTAGATTAAAATAATGATTCTCAGTTGTCCTGAAAGACCAGCAAAGAGCAAGTATTTATCAAAACTATCTCTTAAAACCTACCAGTCCGTCTAAGCATTTCCATAATGCCTGCTGGAGTGGCTGGGATGAATGTCATTTGATCTGAACAGAACCTGCCTACATTGATAACATTGAATCCATCAACATCTTTGCTTGGATCCACAGTGTTGCAAACTCTTCTTTCTGTAATGTGCCTTGGAACCGGAAGCTGTACCAAAATTCCATCCACAAAGTCATCCTTGTTTAAATCTCTGATCACATTCAAAAGTTCAGTCTCTTGTATTTTCTCTGGCAAATGTACTGAACTGCTTTCAATTCCTGGAGCAAAATATATATAAATTTAAATATACCCTAATGAGAGAATTAATCACCATTCACTTCTTCAGAAACAAACTAGTACACAAAAAAAATCTTCTTCTATGATTCTCAACTTCGAAGCAAAAATTTTACAGCCATCATGGCAAGTGGTCCACAGCAATAATATAAAAAATGTGCTCACTTTTTTCCACTTAATTATGCCTGGTCATATTGTGTTTGTCATATCCCTCTTACATTCTATAACCTTCTGTCCTTCCATCTATCTGTCTATCATGATCTCTTTGCACTACATATATATGCAGGGTTCTCCATGAGCTGTTTTATTGTGTTGGCCCTGACACAGTAAATTTTTTTCCGACACAGTAACGGTTCTAATTTTATGCATGCGACACAGTAAAAATTTTGCAACACAGTAAGATCTGTGATAACCAGAAAATCAGAATATAAATTCTCTCTAACTGAAACTTCAATCAAACAAATCTACTGTCTTTCAATGTCTTTCAATTTTTAGGGCAGAGCACTTAATTATCTCTTAATTAGGGCACTTTGTTTTGCTTCACCTTGCATAATCAATTATCTCCTAGACCCTCGCTGGACTTTACGCATGAAGGAACAAAGACAAATAATTTGTTTCACACTTCCATGTAACCGTATAACTGCTTGTTGCATTTTTAAATATTACTTAGAAATTAAAAGATTATTATAAATATATGTCTTTATACTTCAGAACCACGTCTCTAGAATTATGTTGGCACTGTTACAGTACTGTAATCATTTCACTGATGTAAATGTATTGTTAAAGAATTTAAAGTCACCCCCTAAAAGTATATTACTATTCTAAAGTTTCTTTTTTTAAATTCGTAAAGTCGATCAACTGACAAAAATCACTGCAAATTTACTTTTAAAGTGGGGAAGTAGATCGATTTTTTCGACCAGAATTTCCTCTGCTCTTCAGAGCATGTGTAAAATATGAAGTTAAATAAATTATATACACATACATGTGACAGAACTGAAAAATCACAACTGGAGATTTGAAAATTTTCAGCTGGAGTTTGGGTCTCAAAGCTGGAGATTTTTTATCGACATTTTTTCAAATCGCAAAAGACCATCCAACCCCGAAAATTCAGGAAAAAAATACCTTCTCCCAGTTTATTACTTTACAAATGTTATTTTATAAAGTTGTTGTCTATAGTTTTAAGAAAAATATGATAAAGTTTTTATTCAAATGACGTGAAATTGAGTATTCAAAATGAAATCAACTCATTTCCTAGTAAATTAATTCAGAGTTAACAGCATCATTAAAACATTGGATAAAATTTTATTTTTGATTTAGTATTGATATATCAACTGGTAAGTGAAGTAAAACATAGCTAGGTTTTATGTAACAAATTCTATGTCAGTAATTTGTTTTTAAATAGAATATGTACAGATGAAAAAAAAGTACCCTCTAAAAAAATTAACTAATTAGAGTCAGGTATATTTTAGCAACACCCTGTAGTGTGATCTATTTTTAACTAGAGTGTGACCTACATTATAACTGTATCTTTTAATGACCAAAGCAGCATTAGAAGATGGCAACTGGGTATTTTAGCAACTAATTACAATGTTTTGCATTCAGTAATAAACATCAATGGTCTTTTATCAAGTTGATATATCACTAATTTTTACAACATAATTATACGACCCCATGTTGATTCCTACGAAGCCTACCGCTGTGAAAATTTATTGCACTGGCGTTGTTATCTCAATTTCTTTTCATTCTGAGCAATTATATGAAACACGATCAAAAACATATTGCAAATAATATTTAATTTGAAGAATTTTAAAACACGGAAGATTTAAAAATTAATCGGGAGGGGCGGAAGGGGGGTGAAATATCGGGAGATTTTGTCTCCCGCCGGAAGAATCACATGTATGTATACATTGTATATACAAAAACATCAAGATTTAATATACACATACAACTTGTAGACAGTGATACACGCATATTATTTAAAGGCAGAGATATTAAGCACCACCTTCAAAAATACCTGGTCTGTGTACCCCTGTCAATCACTGGGTGCTAAAACTTGATTGACATTTACTTACTAGTCCCTGTGTATACCCTGTACACCTTGTTTGGCATTGTGGTGACCTTCAATTAACTTTTGATCCCTTGATATTTATCACACATGGTATAAACAATAGAAAAGCTGTATTACTATGGAATTTTTAGCTTGATAATTAATATAATATATATGTGTATATACCTTTATTTGAAATAATTATGATATTCTTTATGATAATATGTATCAAAATTTGGTATAACTTTTTTCAAAGCTCAACAAATACTTTGAATAATAATAGTTTTTAATGGGTTGGGATGCTTTGACACATATTAATAAAAATTATTGAAATTAACTTTATTTACAACTTTTTATTTCTAATTTAAAAACATCTCAACATCCCAACACAGGTAAAGTTTCACTTCTTGGGTATTCTACTGTGTATTAAATCACTTCCTGTGTATAGGGATTGGGAAACAAATGACCACAGGTAGATTGCTAGCCCTCAAAGCATTCATACCATTACAAAATAAGCCCCTCCCTCACCTGGAATTTACCAACCGGTAAAAAATCTCTGCCTTTAAGGTTTTTTTTAATATCGTACTTATTTTTTTTAAATTATGTGGGGGGGGGGGGGGTTACAGTTGGTTTGTCTTATAGTACATTGCATGTTCGATACTATATGGAAAAATTCTAATTGTTTCAAATATCCATTCCATTAATTTACTTTTTTATTAATATGCGCGATCATACCATTTGTAAAATGAATTGGTGATTCAAAAAAGTTGTGTGTGTGTGCTTTTGTAATTATAATGAACAGTGGTTCGGTTGCGAATTCGATCGCGAAAATACCACGAATATTAGTGGTTCACGTAAAGTCTGCAACACAGTAAAATTTCAAATGATGCAACACAGTAAAATTTCAAATGATGGAGAACCCTGTATATGTACTGTGAAATCCATACATGATTCATATTGGCACAAGTGCTACATATGCATTTGTCATTATTTTCTGACCTAGACCTTTCCTGTGACCTTGATCATGATCACTTTTTTGTCTTTAACTAAATTTCAAATGAACTAGTTGCAGAGGATGCTAGCAGGAAATAGATTCATCACAGCTCAAAGGCCTTATGTACTGAGTACAGGTCTAAATTTGCAGCCCTTCACTGCAAGTGGCAAGCCTCAAAATGAGTGAAAATTTCTTGAAGGGATGCTAAACAAACAAACAAACTGATTAAAAGAAACTTCCTGACATTTTCAAACAACTAATACACTTTACTCAGAACTATTTAACTGTGTCATAGTTTTCTGACCCTGACCTTCCCATGACATTGACCCCACTATGTCTTGATCTCCAAAAGTTTCTTAAATACATATTATTAGCTAAACATAAACAGATAATAGCACTAACTTGGCTAGTTGCTAAAATAACCTATCATACCGGTACTTTATTTTCACAAAGGTTAACTAAATAAATCTGACAAATCTCTATCATAATTATGATAAATCATAATCAAAGGTCCATGGGCCACATCGTTCACCTGAGCTTGAGCACTTTGGCTAGAGAAAAGCACAGAAATCAGTTCACTATTGGAAAAATTTGAAAAGTTTAAATATAAAAGTGGTTCTGGGAGGGGGAGTTATGATTTGAATAAACTTAAATTTACACTACCTTGGGATGCTTCTGAATTAATATAACTAATAATGGCTTTGCTGTTCTTAAGAAGAAAATTTGTATTGATATATCCTTTATATTCCTTTGTATAACTATGATCCCTTTTATTACCACTCTATACTTCAGGGGGGGGGGGGAAGATTTGAACAAATTTGAATCTACATTATCTGAGGATTTTTTTATATTTGCTATGACCAATCATTGCTTTGCTGTTCTTGAGAAGAAGATTTTTAAAAAATTTTCCTATGTGTTCCTATGTAAAATTTTGATCATCTATTGTGGCCCCTCGCTACCCCAAGAGGTTATGATTTGAACAAAACTTTATTCTACACTACAGAGGATGCTTCCATATAAATATGACTAATGATGGCTTTGCTGTTCTTGTGAAGAAGATTTTTAACGATTTTTCCCATGTATTCCAATGCTTAACTTTGATCACCAAGTGTGGCCCTACCCTACCCTCGTGTATCATGATTTGAACTACCTTGATTCAACACTATGCCTGAGGATGCTTCCATATCAATACATGTATGACTTATCATGATTTGAACAAATTTGTATCTACACTACCTCATGATGATTCCCCATAAGTTTCATATTTTTTCATGAATTTGTAATTATCTCCCCTTGGATGAAGGTGTTGACCTTTTGAACAAACTTGAATCCCCTTTACCCAGGATACTTTGTGCAAAGTTTGGTTGAAATTAGCCCAGTGATTCTTGAGAAGATGAAAATTTGAAAAGTTAACGACGATGAAAAAGACGACGACAGACAATGGACAAATTTCGATCAGAAAAGTTCACTTCAGCCTTCAGCTCAGGTGAGCTTAAAACTTGTTAAGAAACTTCTTTTATCTGAAATTATATGAATATGGGCAAAGTTGGTTGTCATACATCATTGCATATATAAAGAAATACAAGTTGCTGTCCTTTAAAAAAGGACTGCAATACGTGGACCATATGCATGTGTTTCGAAATGAAATTCGAAGAAAATTTCTAGATTTAGTGAGCTTACAAAGGTGTAATTAAGTTTAATCTTTTTTTTTTCTAATTTTCATCGTTATTTAAGTCTGCTTAATTAGGCTGTAATGATAAGAAAAATCATGACCTTGAAATGATATAAATATGAAATGTTGATCTAGGTATCTATCACAATTGTAATTTAGCCTTTAAAATTAACAACAGAATTAAAAGAGGCTTAAGCGTGCAGGTATCGTAATATCCATTGGTGTATCCAGGGAGGGGGGGGGTTCGGGTGTTGGAACCCCCTATATTTTT